AAATTTCACAGCCAGATAATGAAATTATTTTACAAATAATTTCCGTTATTGGCTGCTTCGCATCCAATAACTATATAGTATTCGTTTTACCTTTTCTATTCGAATTACTAATTGATTATTATTACATTTCTTATGCGTTAACAGCTTAAATCATAGGTTCTTAAGCGTATAATTATTTCGGGCCCTTATTTGTAATAATTTTCAAATATCAGGCCTATATCTGTAATTATTCTTTTCATTTGGGGTCCTAATTTGTAATTATTTTCGCCTTTGGGACCTTATCTGTAAATTCCCCTAAAAATAAATATTCCTAAATTATCAGTTTCAATAAAGTGTAGAAATCTATATCCTTTTACATGTTACGTAAATAAAAAACCTTAATGTTAATGAATCAATGCATTAGAGGTTAGCTAAATTTGTTATTCTCAATAATGGCAAATTTAAGTTTTAGATTAGTTGTATAAATACATATTACGTATTCTTCATGCATTATTTCTATGCAAGACGGCTAAGAATTCTAAATTTATTGCATATAATTGAGAATAATAATTTAGGAAAGTATTTTACTAGCCGTGCATTATCTATACATAGAAAGATTGTGAGTTTTAGGTTTCCTGCACAGTACATATGTATCTGCGTAACTTTGTGCATACTAACTAGAAAACATACATAAGTATATACTATTTTAAAATACTATTTATTTACGGCATTATTAAATTATACCAGTGGTGTTTAACATCACAGTTGTTATATTTCAAAAACTGTCCATATGGCCTAACATGTAACTCTATGCTGAAGAAAGACCCGTACCCAAACTTTTTAATGATGTAACTGGTTATTTGACAATGCAATTATCTGACAGACAGCTCATTAGACAATTAATTATATCAGTTTTGAGACGGAAGGTTTATTATTAATACTACACAACAATGACAAATGGAATGCTTCAATAGGTTTAGGCTAGTAATTAGACGATAATCTAATGGGTTTTGAGATAATCTAATGGGTTTGATGAAATCCTTCTTGCATAATAAATCAAAACAATCTAATTATTCGTCAGATCCGGGGTTTAGACTAAATTTAGTGACTCTATTAAACGCCAATATACGCCGATTGGCCCATATGCGAATAACCAAGGCCAGACGTATCAAGTAAAAATGTTCAGCATATAAAAAAAGCTTTATTCTTGGCTTTAGTTTTTAGTTTATAACTTCTAATTTTATCTTAAATAAAATAATAATAATAAATTATATGGTTCTCAACACCACTGGTGCGATTTACAATAATTATTTATCCGCTCCATTTTTTGCCTTTAGATTTCTTCTTTTTTTTTTATTCTTTAATTCTCCACAAATATGCCTTTAAATAATTGGTTGAAAAGTTTCTTTAGGTATGAATTTTATTAGTATTATTAATAATGGCTTACGTTATTTCTATCAACATTGATAAATATATTTATTCAGTGGTTACAAAACCATTAAAGTGGTCGAAGTCTCAAAGTATGTGTTATATCTTTGAATCATTTATCACCTTTTTCAGTGCTTAATATCAACTAATATTCTTGTTGACGTTAGTACTAGATTAACTTTATTTTATCGACTTCTTCAACTCATAATTGTGGTTTATATTTTATATGACATTTTTTCAAAGTCTCTTTATCTAAACAAGGTACTCAATTCTTGTACTTTTTACTAATTCTATTATTATTTGAATTATTATTTAAAATATCAAATTCTGGTCAAATTTCGTAGGAACTCCCCGTACCTGGTGCAGTTCGAATAACATTACAAGCACCAGATACTCTTGTCACTCCCTCTTATTGTAACGTATCACTGCCATGCACTTTTTGGAGTCCTAATCAAAGTATGCAACTCTATTCTTTTTATTTATATCTTTTATAATCCGAGTTGACTGTTTGAACCAATTTATATAGTACAATACCCATCTGATAGTGCTGGTGTTGCATTTTTTACTACAAGAGCGAGCGTAACGAATTTTCCTAATCAACCTGGATGTAATTCCTTTAATGTGGCATCTCCAACAAGTCAATGTTTGGTTAACACAAGAAATAATCCAAATAACATAACCATTATGCCAAAATCTTACATTGCTGACATCGAGGATTACACCGTAAGCTGTCATATATATATATTTGTACACGTGTATTTATTATATATATTAAATTGAATTATTTTAAAAAAGATGATGATTGAACACTCTGTAAGAGGAAAAGCCACATCTATTGCACTTCGTAATGGAGTAATGGATGGTGCGCTCTGTGATCCTAAGGGAAGGGTTATTAAATCGATAACGAATGCTACTAGAGTATGTATTTTTTTTTATTTTGACGATTTGATTTAATATGGTTGTTCAACAAGCATCAAATATTTTGATCATTAAACAGATGGCACTAAATCCCAATGCTGATGGGGATATTTTTACCATTCGAGAGATTCTTGAGGCAGCAAGGGCAGATTTGGATGGTAATATACTTTATTTTCTAATTCCTTTTCAGTATATATTATCTCAAAAACTAATTAAACTAATCAATGGCAAGCTGATACTTTAAAATTAATGGGTTTAAATATGGATAAAAGAGATTCTTTCATTAAATTTTGAGTTTTAACGATGAATTTGAAAAAAAAAAAAGTTTGATGAATGAATAATGAAATATTCTCTTTTTAGTCATATTTAACAACTTAGACATATATACATAAATTAGGAGCTTTTTGAAATAATATCTACTTTTGTTCTAATTCCCCTCTTTAATGGATTTGTAACTAATGATATTCTCTTCATATTAAAGCTCCCTCCACGGCCCCTGGTGCTGATAAGGCTGCGGGTGAAACATATAGATCATCTGGAATAGTTATTGTTATCATAATTGAATATGAAAATGTTCGGTTCAAGGTACTTTTGAATTTTAATTGATCTTAATACTTGTTTGATACTCTTAATACTTGTTTGATACTCTTAATACTTGTTTGATACTCTTAATACACGTTTGACAATCTCAATACTCGTTTGATACGATTGATATTTACATTTTTATTTCTTTTAGTTAGATCAAATAGCTTATAAATATTTACCTCAAGTAATTGATGGAAACGAATACAAAGCTGTAGAAAACGTATACAATTCTACTGACAGTTCGATTACAGTTATTGATAGGCACGGGTAAGTTTGATGTCATTTTGACTTTCTTGTTTGTACTTCTTACGTTACGTTGAAATACTTAAAATTTCCTTAATTTCATTTTAACAATAATCCAGAATTCGTTTAGTATTCCAGCAACATGGAACGATAGGTCAATTTGATTTTCTCTCTCTTCTTGTGAGCTTAGTTGCAAGTCTTGCTCTTCTTGTAAGTTCTATCCTTTTTATATTTTCCTCTTTAGTTGTTAGATTATTAAATATTTTTAACTTTAATCGTTTCACAGAAAGTTGCTGAGCTCTTTGTAGAAATAATCATGTTAAGAATCCATCCTGATAGAGCAATGTACGAAACAGCCAAAATTGATGATGTACATTCAGTAATAGAAGAAAAAACAGAAGATAAAAACAAACCAATAGATCCAAAAAGATCAATTGATGCTTAATATGAATTGAGATGATAAAACAGATCAATTATTTTATTATTTTATTTAAATAATTATAATGTAAGAGTATAAAGTGGTTAACATTTTCATTGTAATGATAGATTTTTATATGGGTGCAATAATATATTCATTTAAAATATACAAAGAAATCAAACTTGTGCATCACTTTAAATCTTTTCGTTCATTACTTAAAAATTCATATTTATGCACTAACAAGTTTAAAAAAATTATCTAAATGCTATTTAATTTTTAATTTTGTTTTTTTTTTCATTTCATAGAATTTTAATGTTTTATTTTCTTTAATGGTTCTTTAAATAATTAATTTTATACGTTCGCTCTAGGAATAGATTGATCATAAAAAAAAAAAAAATTTTTTTATATATTCAATGGTATTTATAAAATGTATCAAAAACAGAACCTTTGTATTACTTATACTCTTGACATCAATACGTAACGAATTTTTTTTAAATTCTATATACCATTAACCAGGGATGTCACGGGACAGCCTTTGGACTTCTTGGACATTTTTAAATAATTACTCAAAATTTTATTAAGATAATCTATTTTAACTTTCTAAGTAAAAAGATTTAGAATTAAATAAAATATATAATCATGTTTTTTTGAAATCGATATTTTAATTATCAAAACTTAGCTGAGCTTTGGACACTTGGACGTTTGGACCAAAAAAGGCTTTGGAAATCAAAAATGTACATCCCTGCCATTAACGATAAGATGCAAAGCTCGTGCCGTGCCTATGCTCATACGGTAGGCATGAAGGGAATAAAGTTCAGGCAATATGATGTGTGACACGCATAGAAGTGCCTGCCTAAAATTGCATCGCATTTCTGTGGAGAATACTTTATGCCTTATGGGCACCAAGTTCCCATTTGGCGCCAACATACCAACATAAATGTAAACACTTGAAAGCCTGACACAGATTGTTATGAACACAAAATGCTTTTAAGGCAGTTTTAGACCAAGTACGTTCGTACGTACTTACTTTGACACGAATATCCAAATCAATATATTATTATTTTAAGTGACCTCTCACATGGAACCTTCATGTAAAAAGGATTTGACTTTTATTAAAAAGGATATTTTTTTAAAGTTTATTTGCCAAGAAAAACTTTAGAATTAGAGTTAAATTGGAACATACGTATAAACATTTACTTGAAAAACTTTTTGTTTTAACATGAGAGATTTCTTCGTTTTTTTTTTGTTTATTTATTTATTTTTTTTTTGTTTTTGAAAATATAGATTGACCGAACGTTTTTTTTGACTAGTGTATCAAAATCATATGGTTTTTAGTCGACTGGCTAATGGCTAATGGCTTACTTTTGGAATCTTTCCCACTTCTTACTTATAATCATGTGACTTTAGCCGCACTAGTCAGCTGACCATGTTCTTAGTCGGCTAAGACGGTTTAGCTGCTGTTGCGTTAGCCGGTTTAAAACACCACTGACTTGTGGTTGCTATTAGCTCTCCCCGGGAGATGTCTTAAAAAATGCCCTATTAAAATGTATAATGATAGGGATTATAACCGCTAAAATTTTTTTAATCATTTGTTTAACCGTGTTATCCAACTTATACAATTGATTCAATAACGATAGCTTGATGTTTTTGCCTTACAAGAAGTGACTCAACCAATCAAAACCATTAATTTTTGTTTGAAAAACAACTGTTAAAATCTATTTTGAGGGATGTCGGGGAGGCAATTTACCTATATACATACTTTAACTCGGTTCTACCACAAAATCCCGATATCGACAGGCCATAACGATAATACTGACATCACGCGATGTGACAATTAAAAATTTAAAATTTGACAATGATTGTTAATATGATTACTAATTTTTAAATATTAATTGTCACGTCGGATTATGGTTTCGAAATTTTGGATGTCGGGATTTTGTGGTAGAACCCTTTAACACCTAATACCAAATCAGCATTGACACTAAGACATCTTACTATAAAAAATTCACCCCTACGTGTGATCATTG